GATCTTTAACGATCTATTAAATTAAAGTGCTTTATCATGTTGGTGGTGACACCTCTCTTGCAACATGTTTAGCTATCACAGATATTATACTTAGCTTTTTTGGCATCTGATCGCAAATGTAGCCAAACTTTGGAGCGCTTAGATTAGCGAGCAAGGTACTGGCAGATCGCTAGGTTCGGTCCTCACAGATGAAGAAAAAAAAAGCGCATAGGAATCGATAGGCAGAATCGAAATTTTAATTTGACAAGTATCCGATTCCTGACCTTAAGTATCCGATTCTGGAATCGGAATCGATTTTCGATTCTCAACCCTAGACAAATCACAACAGACTCAAGGCAGCAGTCCAGATGCAAAAAACACCTAGTCTGGAAATGCACAACTGAACAGCATTTAAACTTTAAGCCATCTAACGCAAACACATGCTGGTGCAGGAGAGATGCAGCATGCAGGAAAGCCAAAGAAAAATACAGTAAGAGCAGGAGGGACATAGAGGACATGCAGGGGAGAACAAGATTGAGGTGTGGTGTTTTTGTGTGTTGAGAATGCATTTCTGTAGAACTTATAAAACAGCAACTCATAAAACAAATACACGCACACACCCTCATTCTCATTTACGAATATAAACAGAAAACAGAGCAATTGTACAGCATTTTCTTCTTTTTCAGGTTGCATTAACACCTGTTTAATAAAACCAAAGGAATGTTAGATCATTTTAAGAAATTATTTAAATAATAACAAATTGCCTTGAATAAAAATGTCTGCTAAAAATAGAGGAAAATCTAAAACATGATACACTATCATTCAAAAGTTTGGAGACGGTAAAGACATTTATAATGTAAGTTGTAACAATTTTAAATAAATGCTGTTCTGTTCTTTTGAACTTTCTATTCACCAAAGAATTATATAATATATATATATATAATTATATATATTATATAAGAAAAAATATATATAATTATTCAACATTGAAAATAATTAAATGTTTTTGAACACCAAATTAGCATTACAGGAATAAATTAAATTTAAAAATATATTCAAATAGAAAATAGTTACTTTAAATTGTAATATTATTTCACAATATTACTCTTTTTACTGTATTTTTGATTAAATAAATGCAACCTTGATAAGCATAAGAGACTTCTACAAAAATGTTACCGACCCCAAATTTTTGAGCAGTGACTGAGAATTCAAAACCAAGACCCTCTATTATCTTTCATTAAAATTAAATGGAATCATTGTGATTTCTATCATATTAACCCATATATCATATAACATACACTTTTCAGTTTAAAAAAAATCTAATCTAATGTACTGCAGATGAACTAGGATAGCTAAAGCAGTTATAGAAAAAAGCAGTTATTTCCAAATCTCTTTAAAAATGATGCTGACATGCACATACACACACAAACTGACATTTTATCCTTGATTTGGAGCACAGGCGCTTTATGTGTGCGTAGGCGACACTCACTCTTTCATGTCTTTTGAAGGAGAGGAGTTGCTGGGGTGTGTGGCTGTGGCAGGGAGTGTGCTGCTGATTTTCTCAAGTGTGCAGGCTGTCCCGATGGCACGGACCACAAGGCCTGATTCTCCTTCCAGATCAAAACACTGTAGGTACCCCACCACTGCATTCCCTCCCATCTCCAGCACCTTCAGACCAATCTTCCTCTGCAATTCACCTACAACAGAAACACAAATGCATTTAGACAAACACCATGAGCCAAGAAAATACTGACAGGAGTGTCTCAGATTGCACATGCAGATGTCTCCAGAGACACAGAAAGCAGTCTTCTAGTAAGTAATCTGTTAGCAGATGATCTTATCCAAAGCTACTTAAAGTACACTTAGTCAGAGTAGATCAATTGTGCTATCCAAAAGTCCTAAATCTAGGTTGGTAAAAGAACAGCATTTATTTGAAATAGATTTTTTTTTAACACTGTGGAAGTCTTTACTTTCACTTCTGTTCAATTTAATGCATCCTTGCTGAATAAAAGTATTATTTATATATGCCGATTAGTCAGTATAAATTGGTAACCAACCACTGAACTAGCAGCCCTGCAGTTATCATGTGATCAATTCCATAAAAAAACACTAGCACCTCTAGCAACATATCCAAACATTTGAAAATATGAATATCTTCTACATAGACTTTCAGTCGTTCATTCACACTGTTTGTGTATTAGTACCTGACATGAGAAAGATGAGTCTCTGTCTGGCCTCATTTGAAGCTCGAGGGGTTCTGATACGGTCGATCCACTGGTACTCTGGATCCTCGTTTACCACAAGCTCTTCCACAAAGCCATGTACCATAATGGCCCGGTAACATCGGGGAATGGAGGTTGCTGAAGAAAAAGAGAGACAGAACCAGAATGTGAGTGAAAATTCACTGAGAATGACAAAATAAAGACAGGAAAGAGAACAGAGCAGGGCTGAAAGTGGAGGAAACAGATCGTCAGGGGATAAAGAAAAGAAGTATAGGAAGAAATGGAAGCAGACGATCTAGATACTTACTACAGAAGAATTTAACCCCACATGAAGACTGTCTAAAGCGGTTCAGGTCGTTGAAGAGATCCACCTTCACCAGCACATTGATTTCCCCTCTTATACCTGAACACAAGCATGTCATCAGAACAAAACAAGTCAGAACTCCTTAATATTATAGGCTAAATTTGCTTGCGGATACCCACCGTGTATAGTGTCATAGATGGGGAGCCAGCCAGAGATGACTGTAGCAGCTTCACTGCAGAGCAGTGGATCAATGTCGATGTACACCTTTCCTATGGCATCATTAGCGCTGTATGTGTCATGGTCAAGAACAGTTATCTGCAACGGCTCATCCTGCAAATCCTCATCATCCACCTAAGAGGTAAAGGAAAGATAAACATAGGGAATAGACTCTACAAAAATCCAACCTAAAGCAGGACAATTAGAAAGACCTTACCTCGAATTTGAACCACTCTGAATTCCACTGAGGATTCAGGGATTTGGGGTACACATCCGTTTTAAACGTTGTGTTTCCAAACTTTACCTGTGGAACAAAACTTCTTAAGTGCTGCTCTATGATAAAACAAGTGATATCCAACTGCATTTTAGGCAGCATTTTAATCTAATGGGCATAGGCAAGTGACTTCATTAACAGACTGATGCTTGACTTACTTCCACAAAGGCGTCTGTGAGATCGCTGGCACGGTCCATGACGGGCAGGTGCCGCCCGGCAACAATCTTCGCCTTTAACTTCCCAGGCATTATTCATCTATTCAAACATACATGAACACAAACAAACGGTTTGCACACTGGATAGAGGCAGAAAAAACCTGACCCATATCCATACACTGACAGGGATGTTTGAAACAGGTGATCAACAACAGGTGCCTTTGACAGATTGGAGGGTGGACAGAAGAGCCAGAGACTACAGATGCAGACAGAAAGCCTTATATAAAATAAACACACACTCAAATAAGTAATTAGCTCTATATAATTAGTATATATTAACATCAAATGTTCAATAGAAAAAAAATATCAATAGAATTTACATTTTTAGATTAGATTTTTAAATATTTATTTAAAATATTTAGTCAATAAAATTCTAATTATAAAATACAGGTAACGTAACATAACAAGATTAGTCAAAAAATAAACACATTTTTGATTCATTTCCCACACATTCGCCAAAATAATCAATTACATTACCCATAATAAATGCATATATCTGCATTATTGCAATCATCTTGTTCACTTAAAACCACAGCACTATTAGACATGAAAACATGATCTTTGCATAATGTTGATACAATAATTAATATAACGTCACACGTAATTTAATTAACTTGTTATGTATAATATCTCTGGGTTCACCTTGTGGTTAGCACCAGCAGATTGTTTTTTTTTATAAAATCACCGAAGTATTATATTACACTAGAACACCAAACCCATTCATCAAAGAAGTAATTCGACAATAATTCTTATATGTTGAATATACATGCATATCTCTGTATGGATCCGGCAGTAAGCAGTTCAGCTGCAATCACATTGTTTATACATCACAGCAGTATTATGTTAGACACAAAGGGTTATTAATTGAATGATTTGGTTATAATCGGGTCAGCTAAATTAGATTATTTTAGTGTTTTTGATCCTGTCAGCTCACCAGAGTTTCGCCTTTGCGGTTCAATCTGACATTAAAGTCTCTCCATCGATCCTTGCGCCGATTAAAAGTCTTCTTCTGTCATAATTAGATCTCAGGAAGGCGCATCGTCGATTCTGTGAGCCATTTTGATCGCGATCATATCAAAATTTTTATGTTTATGCGGCTAATTTTAAAAACAAATTCGGCCGTCAAATGAAACAACTCGCGCAGGATCAGGCGCATCGCTCGCGCAGGTGGGAGGGGCGATAACGGAACGTCAGAGCACATCCGGGTCACGGACATTCACACCATTCACACGTGTGTTTTTGGGCCAGATGCGTGCTTCATTTTTTATATTATATTTTTCACTTTCATCCAGAGTTTTGGCCATTATATAATATCCATCTTAAATCTTAATAAAATAACTGCACACATCAGCGCTGAACCTTTCCCAAGTGTCCAGGATTAAAAGTCAAGAGTCTTAAAGACTAATCCCATTGCATTCAGAGCCAAATAAACCAGTGGATGGTGCAGCCAGGCCTGTTATTAATCTACTATTATTACACACTGCTACCCCACTGGGTGATCCACTGCTATCCTGTGTAGCATGTGTAAACACATATTTTGTTAAGCATAAGCACTTAGGCATACTTGCACTTAATAAGTGGGTCATTCAAATATGTGTAGCTCATATACATATTATGTTGTGATATTTTGGAAAAAGTATTAAAAAGTATATATATGTATGTATATATATATATTATAAATATATATCTATATGCCATGTATGTATATATATATATATATATATATAT